GGGACCCCCGGCCCCGCGCCGCTGCCCCTCGGGCCGTCCGGGGTTTCACGGCCGCGCCGGGCCGGGCCGCGTCCCTGGGCGGGCGGCGAGGTGAAGCTGCCCCAGATTTCTCTTTCCCGGCGCTGAGGAGCTGCAGAAATGCAAAATGCGAGGAGCCGCGTGTAGGACCTGCCCGCTTGGAAAAGCCCCGGGGAAAACAATGGTGTTTTGTAAACTCGAAATAAGAGAGAGGGCTGCGCCGCGGTCGCCAAACAAGGGTCCCTGCCTTTGTGCCGGGGAAAATATTTCTTGACTAGCACAGAAAGAAACCCTCGGCAGAAGTGCAGATATTATCAAAGGCGTCTAATTGTATGGGGGAAGCAGGGCAACCGGGCTGACTGGCAATAAAAAGATATCAACATGTTAGCCTTTGTTGGATCACAGCACCTAGTGTGACATGACATGGCAGCCCGCTGTGCGTGCCCCCAACGACTGACAGCAGAAGGAGCTAATGGAAAGAGGGAGGGGGGCACGGCCAATCCAAATTCGTTTGCCCAGAAATGTTATTAAATCGGGGGAGAGAGCGCGGGCGGCGAAACGCAGGCTGTTCGGTCCCGGCTCTGGCAGCCGCGGCCGAGGCTTGGAGAAGTTTTCTGCTATCAGTGAGGCCTCCTCGCGAAAGTGTAAAAACGGCCCTGCACGCAGGCACACACTCGCGCGGCGGCGTGTTGCAGCACACGGGTTTCACGGGCAGGCGCCTGGAGGCGAAGCCGGGAGTGAATTGTGCTGCACGCCCGTGCCCCCTTCGCACCCCCGGCCGTGCCGCCGGCCACATGCCGGGCTGGTATTGAGTGATGCTTTTTTTAAAACCAAAAATGAGGAGTGAAGGAATGTGCAGGCAGCGATCCAGTCAGGTGCCTTTGTTATCCTGCATCCCGTGCCCGCAGCTCAGAGGGAAAAAAGAGAAGGGAGATTTCCAAAAATTTCTGAAATTTCTTAGTTACTTAAACTTACTTTAAATAGCTTTTCCCCACATAGCAATGCAATTTAAAGGTCAGCTTTGTCCAGAGCTCCCAGGACTGGATTCGGGGCTGTGTGTATCTCTGGAAAACCGGGCTCTCCTCTGCCTAATGAAAGCAAGCTTCTGATGGGTCGGATATCAGACCTTAAACCTTTCCCTGGGTCAGGAATGATTGCTGCCTACCCCGTGCAAATTTGGGTGGGGGAATTTCACATGAGAAGGAAAGGAGAGAGCATTTTTCAATTTTATTTTTTTGAATAAAAATGCTGGCGGCTGGAAGCTGCTCGTCTCGTTGGAGCGCAGGGTAAATCCGGGGGGAGACGGACGAGCGGCCGGAGCGCGGTTCGCAGTGGTCAGAGGTGCCTGATAAATGCAATTTATCACCCAAATATCACCGCTGCATCCGCGGGCTGCGCCTCTGTGCTCTGGCTCTGCTTCAGCCCCTGATTCGATAAGGTGCAGGCGGTGGATATTACACGCTGGTCTTTTGATTTCCATGTGAACTGCTGATACATTTGTGGGGGGAGCATTTGATTGCAAGGAGTTTAGGGGACGATAGCGCAGCGGTGTAGCAGCATTTTGAGGGATGGATCCTGCGAGCCTAATGCAAAAGAAACTGCCACTGGTGGTAGTAAAGCTTTGGCAACGAAAGGGTGGCAGGATTGGGCTCAAAGTTGGCACTTTACGCTTTGTGGAGGGGGGGGGAATGAAATCTCTCTGATGCAGGGGAATATTGAATGCACAGTGATCAGTCCTGGGGAAAAATGAACGAGATCTCTGGTTTTGCCGCAGTAAAATCAATGACAATTATTTGCTTAAAAGAAAGTATTTCTTATAAATGTAGGGTGCAGTTTCCTGCTTCAAAACCATTCATGATTTAAAATATGAGCTTGGCACACTCCTCCCTTCATTTAATCATGGCTGTACTTGGCGTGCTGTCGTGATCTAAATGTTCAGCGTTACATAAAGGTTGTGTCTCCTTTCGGGCTGTTTGGGAACAGCATTCGTGCCGGCTCCCAGCGCTCGGGGCTGCTCGGGGCTGGGGCTTGGGTGCTGAGGGCAGTCTTTTGTCTGCGTCTGCCGTGTGTAGAAAATGTGTCCTCCTGTCGTATCTCTGCAAAGCAAAGGTGGCAAAAGAGTTCCTCCTTTCACAGTCCCTGCAAACGGGGACCTGCGAGCAGTAGCTGATATTCCAGCATTTTTCATTCGCATTACCACTTGGTGTTTTGCTCAGGGTAAGAGGGGAAATGCATGGGCTTTTCTCTCGAGCACCAGGACGTGTCGGGCATTGTTTTAAGCATCCACGCTGGATGCCGTGAAACATTAGCACAGATTTCTGGCATGTATTTCTGCTGTTCCTGATCTCTGGGCCTTTCTTTGTCAGTGAGTACACTTATTTTTTTAAGTGAAATCAACCTGGAACCGAGCATAAGTAGAGAGACAAAAGAAATTCAGTTGGGCGTCATTACTATGCTAAATTTTAGCCTTTCCAGATTTTGGAACTGCTTTCTGGAGAGCAGAACAATAGGCTGGTGTTTCCCAGTTAGCTTTTACATTTAAAACAAAACAAAAACTCCCTATTAGGAAATGTCTCCCTCATTTTTGTGAACGTTCGTGTCTTTTCCAGCGGAAGAGAGCGTTTCTGTGCCGAGGTCTGTGGAATGCAGGCAGGATCCGTGGTACAGGAGATGTCTCGAGCTCTCAGCCTCTGCCCCACGTAGCCCCGATCATAACCATTTACTGGCAGGAAGCCTCTGTTTTGTTTTCAGTTTCATCGTTTTTTTATTGTTGTTTTTTAGCTGCAGAGTCCCAGTCTCGTTGCCCTCCTCAGTACAGACGTTCAGATCCTGAGCACGGTAAATTCGGCAGTGTTAATGTTCCACTCTGCTCTTTGCCTCTGCTCAAGATTGGCACAATCCTTGTTAGTTTGCCTTGAGCAAATAGCCTGAAAACTGCGCAGGGCTCAGAGACCGGGAGCAGCATAAGAACTCGCTCAGAATATGGAGTAAGGATGAATGTACAGCATCCAGTATAAATCTAAAGAAAGTGTCTGAAATGCTCTGCTATTTTTGCTGAAAATTCGATGTACCCCTTTACATCAAACCAACTGGCCATGTTAACAATCCTTAGCAAAACCCGTTTTTAATAGCACCTCCAAACAATTTTGTGCACAGTTATGTGAAATAAATGAGTCACTGGGAAAGTTTAGGAAACGTTACTGTTATTTCTGCAAATGACGTCACCAGAATAGCCGGAGACTGGGCTGCAAACCCGGAGCTTGCCCCCATGCCGGCAGGAATTCATCCCCACGCAGCCTGTGTGAAGGGCTGCAGAGGAGATCGTTCCACGGGCGCTGCACAGAGACGCGAGGTTGATTCGGAGGATGTGTAGTCAATGCTAACACAGAGATTGCTTTGAAGGAGACTTATGAATTTGAGGAGGCAATTCTGAATTCGAAGCAAAATTTATTAAGTGGAACTTTTCTAGTTTACAAAACAACGAGAACAATTTTACACTCAGCCACAGTAGAAAATGAGGATGATTTTTTACGTAACAGGCTACGTGCAATTATGTTAAGTAGAGGAGTAATCAATAATATTTAAACTAGTAGCCTTGGAAATTATATAAAGAAAAAATAACCAATAAATAGGAAAGGCAATGTGAAAATATTCTTCTTTGAAATATCTAGTTGAAATGGAAATTTCAGACTCTTAGCACATTTTTTTTTTATTTGTTTGTTTTCTTTTAGGGTTGTGATTTTTTGGGGGAGGACAGAAGGGTCTAAATTTTTTTAATAAATCAAAAATATGCATGGCATTCTTTTAACTGTAAATAATACACCATGGTCAGCATAAGGTATATAAATCCCGCTGTCCTTTTGCAGGCAAATTGTTGTAGGGGTGTATTTCCATTCTAAGTGCATACACCCTCCATGCTCCTCTCCACATGGATCGGCATATAAAGAATTATGAGTCTTAAAATGCTTACTGCCATGGGGGACTTGAAAAACCAAGGGATATTTAGTAATAATTAAAGACTGTGGTGATTTATACAGATTGCTGGGAAGAAATGTTCAGGAGAAAAAGAGATTCTCTACACGCTGCAGTTACTTATGACTCAACTCCAACAGAAGATCCTGCATTTCTTCCCAGGCAAAATTCACAGCACCCTTTCTGTAAAGAATACCACTCACCCTGCTTTGTGTGACGTCGCAGAGTGAATCCAGCATGATTTTACTTAACATCTATCCTTCCCTCGGCGTGCAGCGTACAAAAGTTACTGTATTCTGTGGACTTGTGCCT